TCATAGATCTCCACAATTTCCTCTTCCTCCTACCCATTTTTTTTAATATTGTTCACCCAATATAAGAGCCATTCAAGGCAGAGGGTAAATGCATGAGGTTATATTAACTATGAAGAGATAATGGAGAAATAATGGTTAACCCTAGATTTGAAAAGGTTAAGTAGTAGTCAGGAGAACATCCTCTCGAGAGTCTGTTCCAGAAAGTAAAAGTTCTTAGGAAGAACTCTCACTTATAAAATGAGGTTGATTTGTCCCTGTATACATGGCATGATGGGTCTTAGCTGTGAATAGAGCTGATATCAGCCTTAGATGATTTCAGGATCAAAAAGATTACTTTCTGGAACAGACTCTCTAGCAAAACCACACTGTTCTTGTCCAGTTTCCACCCTATTTTGTTATGTGCTTCATTGTCTGATAGATCTCAAATTGATTTGCATCTGGCTTCTTAGACTCTCCTATGGAGATAGATTTGCTAAAATCTTTTAGCATATTGCCCTTGTCATACATTTCATTTATTATTTCTGTAAGTCTTGCTAGAGTTACTGGAACAAGAAATGCAATATTTATGATCAGAATGATACTAAATATAAGAAGGGCATATACCTATGTTTCATAGTATCCCAAGATAGGTAGGATGCATCTTTTCACTGGATTTATTTAATAGAGCAATCAAAGCAATCCTGAGAGAACTAGAAGTCCTATCAGGATTCTGAGTAAAGGTCATATACAGAAGCAGTTAGGAAAGTACTAACCATCAATTGTAAGATGACAATGTATGGTTGCTAGCAAAAGGAACAACTCAAGAAGTAAGTTAAAAATTGGAGATTATTGAAATTTAACTATCTGAGAAGGCTTTTAATAGATGATGAAAAATGTGTAACCAAAATCTGAAAGCACATTAGAAAGATTCCTTCCAAAAGTTATGCAAAGTATTAAGAAACAGGAAAATTTTATTAGAAGCAAAGAAGAGTATGCTGAAATGTTATGTAATATTAATTCTCCTGTCTGGTAGTGAATTCTGGACAATTTCCTCAGATATAAAGAGAGACTTGATGCAACATAGATGTGGTTCTGTAGAAAAGTGCTGAGAGTACCATAGCCAGAACATGAACAACGAGAAAATTTTTTTAACAAAATGGAAACAAAAAGTATGCTTATACTTAGAATCAGAATGAGATCATTGAAATTTATAGGAGAAAGTCACCTTGGAGAATTTGAAACTGACAAGACATACTGAAGATTTGAAAGACAGACAGAAACAGTAAGTAACCTACCAAATAAGTTTGTGTAAATGAATGTAAGAACAGACAAGAAGACAGGAAATTGTGGAAAGCCATGATTGCCCACATCCTGAAGGGACATGGTATGTAAAAGAAAAGAAATCTCTCTCTTTGTGTGTGTATATATATATATATATATACAAATGTAAAAGAATGAAAATAATAAATACAAACGTTCATAACATTGATTTAAAAAAAGGGCTCAATACAAGAGTAAAGTAATAAATATTTGTTATAAACTGTATCATGCAAGTTACCATGACAAAAAAATGCATATTTGTTAACTGCCTGATGAGATATCATTGGACGTTGAAACAAATATGCATTTTTATTGCAATAACTTGTGTGTTCTAATGTAATATATATATATATATATATATATATATATATATATATATATATGGAACATACAACATACATACATACATATATATATATATATATATATATATATATATATATATATATATATATATAGTTTTTAGGTATGTTATATTTATGGGTAAAAGATTTTAATATCAAAGATAGAGCATATGTAAATATAAAAGTAGACACTGAAGTCAACACCAAACAGCAACAATCTATTTCATGCTTAAATGCAATCTTCATGGTCTACAAATTGTTTAGGTATGAAACAGACTCAGTCCTTGGTATTGACCTCAGCATCTACTCTTATATTTTATTTTTATATATAACATATGTTTTGGCATGTATTTTTTTGTAAGGCTTATCCAATACAAAGCACTAGAGCCACTCAAGCTAGAGGGTTACTGAATGAGGTGTGTGATATTAACATAAAAGTCAGTAAAAGGAAGTGAAGTCTATGAGGATAAAGAGGATAGCTGACAATTTACTCTTGACATGCATAGATTAAGATTGTAGTGTTCAAAGAAGAACAAATGCAGAAGTAGCAAACATGATTTCTGTCTGTTTTAACTTCTTCATTACAATTGGAATATTGAGAAAATGTGGGTAATTCAATTCCAGAGAGGTAACATGGTGAGTTCGAGTTAGAAATGTTTGAACTGGTAGGACTAAAGAATGGAGCTCAGGTGAATCTTTTGGGATTGGTTTAGGCTTGCAATGTTGTATATGTGGGAAAGATGTTGCAGAATGGAAAATAAGCCATTCCCTACAAGATCATATAAACAATTTTTTACTGCATTAAAGCTGGAAAGTAAGGAGCAAGCAGTTACAGCCTAATTATGGTAGCAATACTCCATTTTTGGCCTAATCTAGACATGGCTGCATTAGTCCATTTTTGGCCTAATCTAGACATGGCTGCATTAGTCCATTTTTGGCCTAATCTAGATATAGCAGTACTTCTCCATTTCTGGTCTAATCTAGATAGGGTAGCAATTCTCCATTTCTCGTCTAATCTAAACATGACAACATGAGTCCATTTTTGGTCTAATATGGATATGGCAGCAATACTCCATTTTTGGCCTAATCTAGACATGGCTGTATTACACTTTTGGTCTAATCTAGATATAGCAGTACTTCTCCATTTCTGGTCTTTAGATAGGGGTCTAATCTAAACATGACAACATGAGTCCATTTTTGGTCTAATATGGATATGGCAGCAATACTCCATTTTTGGCCTAATCTAGACATGGCTGTATTAGTCCACTTTTGGTCTAATCTAGATATAGCAGTACTTCTCCATTTCTGGTCTAATCTAGATAGAGCAGCAATTCTCCATTTCTGGTCTAATCTAGACATGGCAACATTAGTCCATTTTTGGTCTAATCTAGATATGGCAGTAATACCCTATTTCTGGTCTGACCTGAATATTGTTAAAATAAAGCATGGCAGAAGGAGTCAGGGATTTGGGGGAACAGTAGAATGAATCAATCATTTTTTCAGCATTTTTAGATATAGATTGTATATATGAGTTACTCTTTTGGCCAATAGTGAACTTAAATCCCAAAAGTGTGGAGTTTCTTTGAGGGTGCATTAAAAAGAGAAAATAAACTAAAAATTAAGATATGAACAGAGTGATAGATAGAGGAGGAGAGAGAGAGAGAGAGCAATGTGTACAGTTTAAAGAAGATTGATATGAATAGATAGATAAAGATAAAAAGGTATTTATGTGTATACATTAGTTTTATGCAAGCATTTCCAGCAAAAATTAAATGTGTGCAGCAACAAAGTTTTAAAGAAAATGGAAACAGAGGACATTTTTACTTAGCATCAGAAACAGATAGTTGAAATTTCCAGAGAGATTTTTAACATAATGAGGAAAGAGAGCTTAGAAAATTTGACACTCATGGGACATATTGAAGACAAATAGGACAGAAGAAACAGCAAGTTTGTATAAATGGTTGGTAGAACAGAGATCATAAAAAGACAAACTTTACTGCAAAGGACAGAAAATTGTGGAGAGCTAAATTGTGGAGAGATTTACTCTCTAGTTTTCAATAAATTGCTCTTCAAATTACTAATATAAAAACAAAATTGTTTTTCTGTTTTGTATAAAATTTTGTATTGAATACCTTTTTTGAAAAATCAAGTTATCTTTAGTCTCTCAATGTACCTTTTTTCATCTCTTAACACATCAATACTGCAAAATGCATTTAGGCAAAATTACTAACATTTTCTGTATTCAGACATCATTGAGTACACATATTTACTTATTAAATTTTCATATATATTTTAGAGTACTGGTGGCTAAAAATTGTTAAGTACTAGATTGGTGGCATGGTCTCACCATTTTACAGTATAAATGGCTAGACGTAACCATAAGTTCTATGCTAACAGTTTCTTCTCTTGCACTTCTTACTTGTGAAACTCTCTTCCATCTTCTTGCTTTCCAGTCAAGTATGATTTTCAAAAATTTAAATGCAATGTCAGTTGCTATCTTGTCTTCTCAATTCCTGTTCTTTTATTGTTCTCACTCGTTCATAATGTTTTTCTTCTTTTTATCTTCTTTCACTCTCATAAACCATCTATCTTATAGGGGCTTTATTGCTCTGCTTGGGGTAAAATGATTAAAAAAAAGAAGTTGGGTAATCAGTCATGAAATCTTGGTGAAATTGAGAATTTTGATTTTCAAGGAAATCTCAAGAAATTTTTAGTACCACACATTCTTCCTATACTTCTTGCAAGCAACTGTAGATTTGCCTACTTGTAAAATCTGTATCTACTTCTTGCTTGCATTTCAAGTGACCTTGCACAAATCCCCACCCAACAAAAAAAAAATCATATCAATAAATACACAGGTACACACATACATTTTTCTATGTATTTCTCATTCATATAATTAGAAGTAAGCAAGTGAGCAAACATATATGAACACAAATGAAAAAGGGCCCTTTAGTGAATATACACCATAGTAAAAAACTAACTGGTTACATTACTTAGTCCCACTACTCCTGACTTTTCACAACTGAGACCCACCAAACCATATAGACAATTGTGAATCTATCCCCATTCCCTTTGTATTCTATTAGTGAAATGTAAGTTCCACTCGGACAGCTTTTTCCCAAGAAATGCTGCTTTGTGGAACAGACTCCTGGCAGGATGTTTTTCCAATGCTGACAGCCTAGACCTCTTTTAATATAAGGGTTAACCATTATTTTTCCTGCATAATGCCATGAACTTCTTGACTTTCCTTATCCTCATATAACATCACATACTAAATCTCTATATCGAGTGGCTCTTGGGTCTTTTTTTGGTGTGCTGCCTTTCCGTATTCTAATACACTAAATCAAAAACAAACATCAATTCCTATATGATCACTGAAGTTAAGTAACATCAAGCCTGATCGGTACTTAGATGGGTGACTGCTTAGGAATACCAGGTGCTGTAAGCTTGGATGTGTGACTGGTGTAATGTCTCAGAATTGGAGAGCCAAGTTCCAATTCCTGTTGGGTTCGTTATATTCAGTTAATTGCAAAAACTCTTGGGAAAAATATGAATCCACTTCTTCTCCCTCCAGCTATGAGTTAATTAGTAAGATTTTTATCACTAAACCATTATTATCTTAAAAAAAAATTCTTACAAACTCAAAATATTTTCTGGCTTTGAATAACTTGCAAAGAGTTGATTAGTCGTAGAAAACAAATGAGTGAATCAATCAATCAAAATAACAAATGTCCCCTCCAGCATTTCTATTAAGCACTTAAAATACTGATCTAAATTTGTAGGCCTCTACCTTGAGTGGCTCTTGGGCCTTGTGCAAGGTGAACATCATTGCAAAAACATCTTACAGACAGAAATGTATTCATGTCTATATAAACATTTATATTAATATGTATAAGTAAAAAAACTACATAGACAGGCTTTCCTTTTCCTTTCATGCTTTACTTCTCTTTCTGTAAAGAACACACAAACACATATTAAAAAAGTGATATATCCATAATTAACCCACATGACCAACAATATTGAACACAGTTAGGGAAAGAGACCCATATATTTACACATATATGAGATAAATTAAATCCAAGACATATTCATAAGGACATCGACTTAAACACACCTATCATGAGACAGACATTCCTGTGACTAGCAGACAACCATTTTTAGAAGGTAATTCCAACCCCCACCTTGTTTTCCAAGCTAAATGCTACTGCAGCTACAAGTTTATACTCTGACCACTAAAAGTGTTTGCCTGATTAGCAAGGGCATATATTATTTTTTCTACATGGCAACTACCTTGTACTTTTAGAGTTGCCCTTGGTGAGTAGCATGTGTGACAATAATGGAAGGTTTGCATCAATACAAAGATAACCCAGATGATTGTAAAATTATATATATATATATATATATATATATATATATATATATATATATATATATATATATGTGTGTGTGTGTATATGTATATATATATATATATATATATATATATAGAGAGAGAGAGAGAGAAGAGAATGTTTTGGAATTTTATATATAGATAGATATATGTTAATTAAAAAAGACAGAGCATTGATTAACAAAGAACTAATAAACACAAATAAAAGAAAAAGCAGATATTACTGACCATGTTGATACTGTGGTACAAACACACATGAACATACATATACATATATATATATATATATATATATATATATATATATATATTTATATAGCAATATTTTTCTTTCAAACATGTTTTGCTGAATATGGCAGACAAGAAAAAATTTAATTATTTTTTTAATTATTGGGTTGGTGCATAATTATCAGGCGTTTTTTAAATAATATTTATTATGAAAAAAGAAACATAATTCAACAAAAACATTTTTAAATGAGTATGATTATCGACACACATTTTTATAACCTAAAAATAAAATAATATTTTCAATAAAAAAAGGTAAACAAAACAACAATTTATATTAACAAATAACTTGACTACAAAAACGCCTGATAATTATGCACCAACCCAATAGTATTTCTAATATTCTTAAATTTTTCCATGTGGTGGGATTAAGTGACAATTTTCAAGCTCCCTTAATAAAGAAAAAAAATGTAAAATTTTTCTTGACTCTCATATTCAATGATATATATATAAATATACATTTTTTATAAAATTTGTGTTTAAAAAGATTTTAAATTTAAATTTAAAATTTCAGCATCTCCTCTCCTTCATGCAAATGTGTAAACACATCTATGTAAACATCATTTTAGTTCAATGAAGTCCTAAATGAAAGAATAACTCACACAAAAATCTTTTACCATTTTGTCATAGATTTTCCTAAGATTATTCTGATATATAAAAATATATATATTGTTTTCCTAAATATATATATATATATATATATATACACACACACATGAATATGAGATTAGTGTGAGCATTTCATTTATCCAACTTCCAGATGTTCTTGTTTAGAATTTTTTTATTTATTTTTCTATATTTTGGACTCATTTACTGGTTTCCAGTGGAAATTTCAATATAAATTCTCTGATGTCTGGGTAATTCCAACTTTCACTAGCCATTATTAAAAAGTTTTTTCTCTGTTTTGTTTTATGTCTATCATTGGTCTTTAACAAATCTTGTATAAATATATACATGATATAAATAAATATATGAAATTTATATATATATATATTCTATCAAACTTTCCATTCTTTGAAAGAGCCATTTCATGCCTTTATTTGCCCCAATGGGTTACACTTCATCAAATGTATATTGTGAGTGAAATAGTCAAGACAAAACAGTTCAGAATTTATCAATAGCATGAAGTCACAAGTCATTGTGACTGAGTGTTTGAGCATACTGGCCTTATTTAATTACTAATCATACCAGTTTATGTGGTCATTCCCAAAACTTTAACTAACGTCTGTCCAGTATAGCTTCAATATGAGCCACTGTTTGGCTCTGTGCATATTAAAGATGCACACATATAACTGAGCTGACGTCTACACCAGGGATTAGCTAGCCACTGTAGGAAAGATTACATAATCAGCCAACGTGGTATAGATTTCTGTTTATATTATGAATATGTTTCTATATTTCTATTCTCTCTTTCTCTCTCTCTCTCTATATATATATATATAAAATGTCTCCTTGTATGTATGTATGTGTGTAAATTTCTATTCTTGTGCTGCACATCACCAAATATTATGACTCACAAGAATTCAGACAGATTTTACATGAAAAAAGACAACTTCCTTAATTATAATTGAACTGATCATACAACACACACACACACATTATATGAGTGCATAATTGCACATACACACACACACACACACACACACATATATATATATGCACATATGTTGCATGTATGTATAGTTGCACATAGACTCACACACACACATACATATATATATATATATATATTGCATCTGTGTGTAGTTGCATGCACACATATGCATAGACTGATGTGTATTTGTACACATAAATGTATACGTAGACTTTATGTCTGGTTGTTTATGCATATTGATTAAAATAAACAAAAAAAAAGCTAATTAAGGAAAACAAAGTTCTAATTAATTAAGAGGAAACTAACACAAACTGATAATGACAAAACTGTCTGGCTGGTCAGTGGGTGTGGCATATATTGTAGAATATATTAAGATATTTTTTTTACCCTGGATTGTATGAGATAAGGATTGAAGCCGATGCAGACAGACATTGGATAGATTTTAGAAAAAAGATACTACAACGTCCATCAGTCACATTACTGAGTGGTCAGTTTTGATGCTATTAATGGCACAAGTCCTCATACTCTACACAGAAGAGAGGCTACTTTTCATATTTCCCCCCCTTCTCTCATTGTTAAAGGTCAAAAAATTGGCAAGCTTCTATAAAATGGTTACTGCGAGATTTTTTTAAGGCTTCATTTTATATATCACATTGAAAAATATCTCTATAAACTGCATCTTATCAGTATATCTCAAGTTGTCTACTTACCTCTTTCTTATCGGAAGAGAGGATGAGCTAAGTACCGGATTAATAGTTACTCTTTGAATTGATCTAGCTTGAGAGCAAAAGTGAGATGGATGGATGGATAGATAGATAGATAGATAGATAGATAGATAGATAGCTAAAGATATAGAAAGAATAATTAAGGGTAAATTGGACAGAAGGGTGGATAGACATGAGAAAAGAAATAAATATTATTTCAGTTCTCATTTATATATATATATATATATATATATATATAAAATCTACAATGTATATATATATATATATATAATATAGTATATAATATATATATAATATAGTATATAATATATATACATATCTATATACATATATATATATATATATAATATACAATGTTTAACATTGAAAAACATAACATTAATTTATTCTAATAATATATGGAAATATCACTCTTTGCCTGAAGAAGGTCACAAGACCTGAAACGCATGTTGCAAAATTATGGAAAATTAAACATAATATATATTTTGAAAAAAATCCATATTACAACCAAAAACATTTGCGGTTTCTCTCTTCTTTTTAATATATACACTTTTTTCTCGTTGAAACAACTATAAATTCCTCCCAACATATATATATATATATATAAAATGTGTGTGTATGTATTATAATAACATTATAAATATATTGATATTAAAATCTGCTACTCAGGGTTTTATGCAATAAAACAATCAAGCAGATACAATATTAACCCAATAGCAATAATCCAACATATATCTTTTAACTTATTTTAAGCTTTAACTTATATATATATATATGTGTGTGTGTGTGAGTTTGTAAAGAAAGGATGTGCACAACAGGAATCAACAATGCATGGTGACCCTTAGTTACACAAACCACCTTCAAACAAAGCTGGTCTGACATTCACTTTCTGCTCTCTCTCTCTCTCTGATATAGAGCATTCTTCTATATAGACAAAAATTTACATATATATATGTATATATATAAAGATCTTTAAACCCAAAGTTGTGATATTCAATTTAACATCTAAGTGAACAAATTTATATACAGTTACTTTTTCTGATGGGGTGCACACAATCTGGTATGATCAGTAGTTGAACAGAGCGAGAACATTCTAACTTTTGGTTACGATGACTTGTGACTACATGCAAACACAATCATTGAGAGCTTCTAAACTGTTTTATCTATCTCATTTCCCTCACATGGCTTTGATAAACCCACACTGGTTTTCAGAGACTTTCCAGTAATACTATACATGAGGACTGATATTATCAAGGAGTCACCTTGACAAATCAAACCTGGGTTTTTTTGGCTGGGCAATTAGCACTCTAATCATTTGGTCATGCACCTATATATATATAGAGAGAGAGAGAGAGAGAAAGAGAAGAGAGAGAGACATACACACACGCCATTCTGTCAAATATATAGGTTGGGATGATTATTTTTTTTACAGAAAAATATTCACATGTGTTA